ACATCAAAATTTTTTAATTTATTAGGCAATCACTATGGTTATGAGAGTTGTTAATATCATTACATGACTTGCTATTAAAATTGTTAATGGTATTATAAGAATTGTTAGTATCATTGTATAACTTGTTAACTAAGTTACTAAAGTTAAAAAAAAATGTCATTTTTTGAATTTTTCAGAAAACTTGTTGTTAACTACTCTAGCGAACTTATTAATAACGTTATAAAACTTGTTAACCGCGATATTGAAGTTCTAAAAATGCCACTTTTTAATTTTCTAAAAAACTTATTATTAACTAATATAACGAAGTTGTTAATAGTATTAAAGAACTTATTAATTGCCTTACTGAGTTGTAAAGATCTGAAAAAAATAGTTGCTGGTTGCTGGAGTTTTGACAACTAGTGGTTGAAATGCTGCCAGAGCTCTAGTGATGACAGCTCACTTGAACTTCTACGGATGATCGCCGATGAGGGTGCTTGGTATATTTTTCTTTAAAAAAATAAAGGGCAATATGGTTATTTCAGTAAATTTACAAATTCCAATTTAGTCACTTATACCTAAATTTGAATTTTTCTTATTTAAGTAACTATTTGGGGACTTTGAAATGTCATCTTGGTCTGAATGCTTGTTGAATAAAGTTGCATTCGGACGATGCATACTTTCTTTTATTGAGAAAAATGCAAAGGCAAATAACTTATGAGTCATTGTTAATTCACACCAAATGAAAAGATGAACTTTTCAATCCCAATTTGAATCCTTACCCATTATTTTTAATGTTTTGTATCAATCGGGACTTAAAAGTATTCTTTAGCTTTAGTACAATCAATTAATTTTTCATGTGTTTATTGATATATAAATTGACTGATTTCTTAGATCAGAGTCCCTCTGCTGGTCAAAAAAAAAAAAAATCAGAGTCTCTCGCATTTTCAAAAGAATAGAATCATACATATATTGATTCATTCATTATGTTCATTTAATGATTCTTAAATAATTTTAATTTTATTTATGTCAAACAAAGTAAAGGATTGTTTGAAAACTTGTTCTTCGGGGCAAAAAGTGGAAAGTCAAATTAATTAATATTTGTAAATGACTTAAAAGCGTGGCAACGATATTCATTTATCGCACTTACTCTGTATATAGGGTGTAAAGCAGAGCATCTAACTCACCAACAATACAAGTAAATTATTCTTCATTTTTTTCTTCTCTTGGTCCATATTTACAAGTTTGCTTTGCTTGCTGGATTGTTTTTGCAGGTTGCTAGACTGGCGTCCAGGCAGATTTATGCCGAGATTTCTCAGGTAATGAATTTTCCTTCCTCTTCATTTTTTTTTATTCATTTCCTTCCTCTTCATTAATTATTGATGCTAATGTTTTTTTTTTTGGGCCTTAATATTGTTTGCGAATGATGGTAGGTGACGTAAGGGGACGCCAAATCACTTTGGACTTAAAACTAGGACTGGAATAGTTCAGAAATTAACCTCCCAACAAATATACTTTTCAGGATTAGAATTTGTTTTCTCCTCCTTATAAGGATTAGGCAGTTATCGCTTACCACCTCAACTAACAATTTGTTGATATTATGCTTTCACTTTAACGTGGGAATGAATAACTAAGTAAGAAAATTTAAATAAGGTTTTGGGGTAGACATAAATAAAACATAAGAAGAAAAGAAAATGATGAAATGAATGAAAAGAAGCAACCTCCTACGTTCCTCCAGGTAGACGACACTCCTTGGAGTGTGATTTGATTTTTTGACGTTGTTTCAATCTCTTTCAGGGGTTACTTGGCTACGAATGCCTTTTAAGTTTTCTACTAGGGGCGCAACTTCTAGGAAAGTCACAGAACATTACCTTCCAAGTTCCAACTCAATTATTTATGCAAGCTGGGCTTGCAGCAACACAAATCAAAATCACAAACTAAAATTATAAAATTTTCTTTTTTCACCTGCCAAAAAAAGATGAACTCCATCACTGTGAAGTATGAGAGTTCCTAAGGGACTGACGAACCAAGGCTGAAATCAGGTTCTAATCTTTATGAGGAAAGGAGAGCCGAAACCAACAATGAGTAGTTGCAAGATGCCACAGCTTAATTCAAAATCTTTAACATTTACGAGTTCTTTAACCTTATTATATGCTTATGTAGGTGACAAACTCAATTATTTTTATATGTTTTGATATCTTTTATATGGTTTTGTCAACTTAATTAGTCCCTTTTGACCTTGATTGTTAATTGATTTAATATGTTTTATTCTGAATTATTATTTTATAGGGGCAAAATTGTCATATTTTGATTTAATTATGATTAATTGATTTTTAAAGACAATTAATGCAACCTTATTCTTAAATTTTGTTTGCAAGTTTTTGGAAGATTTAAAAATTAAAATTAAAATTAAAAAAAGCAAAAAAAAGAAAAAAATTAATTAAAAAAATATAATAATAAAAGGGGAGCAAAACGCAACGTTTTGCCCCCTCAACCTAATATCTAATAATCATCTTCTTCATCTTGGACACACACACGGGGAGCTGGACGGCGGCAGAAGAAAAAAATAGAGTGAGGAGACGACGCAGCAGTGAAGAAAACGGTGGAGGCACTATTCGAATCATCATCTTCTTCATCTTGACGGCGCTGGATGAGAGACAGTGAACAGAGTGGGGCGTGAACAGGGAGACGCGGACCAGATCAGTGAACAGAACAGAGCAGCTGGACAGCACGAGCTTGACGACGGAGGAAAGGATTCACGCTGAATTCTTCACGCCGCTGTTCTTCCATGGAAGCTTGCAATAGAGTATTGATTGTGGCATTTTTTATGGCAAACCGTATGGCTAGAGCTTAATAATCCTCTAATTCAGCAACAATGGCAGGAGCTCGGATAATCAAAAGGGAGTTTAGTTACTTTAATTTCCTATCTAATAATTGTTTAACAATTCCTAGGTTTTAGGATAGTTATTCTGATTATTAGAAAATTTCTATTGTTTAATATGATTATATTTGAAGATTATTGTGACTAGATTATTGTTTAGCATTTGACATTGGGCTGTTTATAGCTTTAATTTCAATTATAATATTGTGGTTATGACATTTGTATTGATTTTGGAGTTAATATATTGTGATTTTCTGAAGTGGCTTGGAATCTTGGATCATATTGTCTCTTGCTAGCTTTTTGTTGTTTTGGATTTGAGAGTTCTAATTAAGCATTGGTTTTTAGCATCCTTAATTCCATTTTACTATTCTGGTTGCAGTTAGTAAGTTGGGATTTTATAAAAATATTTTGTGGCAATTCGAGGTGGCTCGGTTGTTGGATTAAAAGCTTAATTATAATTCTAAATTTATTGTTTTAACTCCCGTATCTTTTGGAGTGAAGATTACCTGGGTTGTTAAATTGGAGGATTGATTATTATCATTGTTATTTGTGTGTTTCATTTTCATTTCTTAATCTTCATTCATTTTGATCATTTTATATAAAAACAAAAAAAAGTATTTTAATTTCAGTTTAATTCATGGTGTTTAATTAGAAATTATCAAATCAAAAATCATTTTTATAGTTTAAGTTACTTGTATTTATTTATTAGGATTTAATTTTATTTTTGGCTCCTCAAAATAAATACGACACGGATTGTGTATTATATTGCATTAATTCAGTTAATTTTTGAAATAACCCCAAAGCGAGAAATTAAGGACAATTTACTTCAGTAGGATAAGCCTTGGGACGATAACAAACAAAAAGTTGACATGCTTTTAGAGTAATCGGTTTTTCTTTTTTTGCCATTGGCGCAAAAAAAAAAAAAAAAAAACTCATTTTTTTGTCGAATGCCCCTTTAAAGTTAAAATAACTCTTTTTTAATTTCTGGCTTTTGTATTTTCTTCAAATTTAAAGCTTTGAAAATAAAGTTTTCAACTTATTATCTATAAAACTTTATGTCAGGCCGACTTTTTTTTTTTAAAAACAAAAGCTTATTTAAATATAAATCGCAGGCATCAATTGACTTTTACCTCATCTTCAATTCGCAAAAGTCAATTGGGATAAAAATTAATTTTATCAATGTTAATCTAAATAAGCCCTTATGGTAACTTCACTGAAATACTCCCTACATTTGACTCAAATCCACTTATATTTAGCTACAAGGCCAAGTTACTTTTGAAAACGTACAAGGCATTCTTTGCTATTAATACCTAAGCTGGAGTTTGCCGCGAATACTCACCAAACAGTGGAGAACAATACAATCTTCTAAAATTTAAGAAAACAGAGTGTCTTACTCATCAACAATACAAGTCAGTTATTCTTCCATTTTTCTCTCGGTCCCTGTATATATTTATACGCATACGCATACATATATAATTTATATATACACACATTATAGAAACAAGCGATATTTGGAAATGCAAAAGGGTTATTTGAAAATATCAAGAAAAAAAAGGTTCAAATTTTCCGTTGATTTCTATAAACTAGAGTAAAGCCATTTTATAACGTGGCCCACATGAATTTATTTGGCTTTTAAGAGATTGTCGTGTGGTGAGAATTGGACAAGCGGCCACCAATCTTATCCTTTTTGAGTCAATGAAAAAGGCGTCTGACAGTGATTAAAATATGGCTGAAATTTCAAACTAAAGCCACACTCAGCAACTCCCTCAATCACTACTCTTAACTAGCATAATCAATATATAAATTCCACGCTTTAATTTTTTTTTTTTTAATATAAATGATACGATCTATGAAAAGAAGCTTCTCCTTATCTTCCCCTACGTGTTTAGAATGACAAAGCTCCTCGGACTGTGATTTGATCTTCTTGTTAGTCCCTTTCAGGAGTTTCTCTTTATCTTTCGGGAAAGTCACAGAGCGTGTTTCCTACTACGGAATTCTAACTAAATATTGATAATTTAAACTTAACAAGATGGAAACAGACCAAAACGAGAATGCAAAGTTCTCCCGTATATAATTAAGAGAAAATTAGAGATAAATCCCTCATTAAAAATTTAATTAGTAAATGGGATCTAAAATAGGACGAGACATCATTATTCGCGGAATAAACATGTGCACTATAAACTCAAGAGGAATAGCCGATAGGAGCTAAAATGAGATTATTTTTCTTCCTTACGAAGCCACCAAACGACTCATCCATGTCCAATTCCTCAGGCCTCATCCCCTTCGGTAGTTTCCAATCAAAACGATAAAGTAAATTGGAAAGTAACAATTCTAAAATAGGCATTGCAAATGTGGATCCGGGACATGTTCTTCTTCCGGCGCCAAATGGGATATACTCAAAGTTCGAACCTTTGAAGTTGTAGTCAACCATCGTATTGAGAAACCTCTTTGGTTCAAACGTCTCTGGATCATTCCAATTCTTGGGATCTCTTCCGATGGCCCAAGCATTAATGATAATCTTTGTCCTAGGAGGTATCACATATCCATTAATTTCACAACTCTCACTATTTTCTCTTGGAACCAACAATGCTAATGGTGAACGTAGCCTTAGAGTTTCTTTGATGACCGCATTTAAATATTTCAGTTGGTGAAGATTTGATTCATCTACATATCCTTTGCTTCCATAGACTCTTCTTACCTATTGTAGAATCAATAATAATTTTCAAGTATAAGTCAACTCGATAATTTCAAATTTATAAATCAATATGAATAAATGAATGAAATAAAATATCATATATATATATAGATACTATAAGATTAATATACACTGTATTTATAGAGACACACAACCCACAAATTATGATATCACAACATTCAAAATTCTAGCTAATTTTATCTATACCTCTTCTCGTGCCTCTTTCATAACCTTTGGGTTTCTGAGTAATTCTGACATCGCCCATTCTGTTGTAGTTGCTGTTGTTTGAGTTCCAGCAAAGAAAATATCCTGAAAATGGAATTCATACAATTGATTAGAGGAATGTGTGCGTGTGCATTTTGAGTATTAAAATAAATTACAAATTATGTAACTTTCAATATGAAAAAGTGCATCAGGCCAAAAAAGAATATGATAAGCGCATACGAAGACTAACTTTAAGAACAGCTTTAACATTGTCAAGAGATAAGGGGGTGTCAAAGTCATTATCCTTTTGAATCGTGAGAAGAACATCAACAAGATCCTCCTCTGCCTCTCCAACATTGTTTCTTTTCTTTTCTCTGTGGTCTCTGATGATGTCATCAAACACCTTATCTCCCTCTCTGTGCAACTTCATGATTCGAGCTCTCGCCCCAGTGATCACACTGATAAATTTCAGCGACGGATACAAATCAGAAATTGATAACCCAGAGCTTAACTTTATCGTTTGCTCCATAATTTCCAACATCTGTTCTACGTTCTTTGTCTTTGTCCCAAAGACCGTTCTCGCAACTATGGAATTCGTGAGCGTGGAGATATTTCTACTAAGGTTTATGAACGAGCCTTCATGTTCAGCAATATTGCTTACAAGTGCTGATATCTCCTCTTCCCTAATCCTTCTGAATGATTGAACCCTCTTTGCCGAGAACATCTCTGAAGTACAGATCTTTCGAAGTTGCCTCCAATAGTTTCCATATGGGGAAAAGATGATGTCTGTGCTATTGTAGGCAAAGATATCAGAGGCGAGAATTCTGGGTCTGTTTGCAAATATCTGATCATGGGTCTTCATTATTTCTTTGGCATATTCAGGTGAAGACACTATGATATGAGAAATTTGTCCAAGTTTAAGGTGCATGAATGGACCATACTTGTTTGCAAGATTTGCGAGAGAACGATGAGGTAGTGACCCAATGAGCTGGTGCATATTTCCTATGAGAGGTAATTTCCATGGCCCTGGAGGTAGGGTTTTGATGGATTTTGCGGAAGAAGATAGCTTGTGGATGACAAAGAAAAAGCAGAAGAAAGTGAAGAAGATGATGGAATATGGGATCTGCATCTCCATATTGAAAGAATGGTAGTGTGAGATTTTGAGCTGTTAAGCCCGCCTTTTATAGGCAAGAATTGTAATTTAAAATTCCTAACTAATCCTTTTTAGAGGCAAGAACTGTAATTTAAAATTTCTAAATCATAGACTTCCTGAATTTTTTCCCCTTTACTTTTCGTTTGACGTATATTTTATGCCACTTGACTTCGCTACCGTTTCAAACAAGGTTTATTTGAAGTTTTATATTATAATGTTGTTACTTGTTAGTTAACGAAGAAAGATTCCCACAAATTAAGGTCCATGCAGGGAAGGGGCTGCCGAAGGGAGATGGAAAGAAGCCGCCCCTCCAGAAGTAAATGATCCTCATTAGTCAAGTTTTTACTGTTTTGATGAAATTTAAATTTAAAATTTTTTAATATGTAATTTTCTTGATAATAAATTTTATGTACTCCTCCAGAGTCGTATTTATTATTGATGGGACAAAGAATATACACTCTAATTAATATTGGTTTGTAGCGGAAATTCCTTTCTTAGAAATCACAACTTTAATTTGATACAAAAATGCAAAATTAACAATAAGCCACTATACTTTTTTTTTTTTTGGCCAACTAACAAGCCACTATATATGGACTCTCTCTCTCCCTCTCCCCCCCCCTGAAGGAGAGACTTTTTGTAAGAAATAAATGAGAGTCTTTTGAGATTTATTGCGCTGCTCTCTTTTATGAATAAATTAGTAAGAAAAGCATTTTACAAAAAAAAAAAAAGAATTAAAAAAGCAGCCAATTTATCATTTTACACCAAAAAAATTCAAAGCAAAACCATTTTTATTCATTTCTGGCTTCCACAACGTCGATTCAACGGTAACTAAAATTTAAGTGAAAATGCATAAATATTTGTTGTCATTAATTGATTTAAAATCTTTAGTTATCAACTTTGACATTTTTCCCCCACCAATCCCAACATGCATACCTTTGAATAACAGTACATCGGCAATGTGGGTGGGTACCATAACCCTGGTCGATTTAAATCACTGACCCTTGATTTAAAATCAAAGGCCAATAGTATAGTGTCTGATTTCAAATCAAAATATTAAAATAAATAAATTATATTATAATTAATTATCTGTAGATTAAGTTAATCAATCTTTAATTTGTGGGTCTCATTGCTTAATCAACACCCATGGCATCTTGTTGAATTTGTTTTTAGATTATATAACACACATGTACATATTGTGATATTTGAATCAAAAGAAATATAGTTAGACTTTTCTATACGAACGAAAGACGTGGGTTACCTTTGAATTATATTACAATCAATCTTGTTGAATCACATTTTAAATATTGCGTAATGTTATGGAGTAGAAATAGTTACAAAAGTTTGAATGTATTATTGAGTCAAAAAATAGCTACAAAATTTTAAACCTTTATTTTATTAATTTAATGTAAGGTAATATCACAGAGACTCGGAGAGAACTAATAATAAGAAACAAACAAATCGTTTACGCAATTTTAAGGTTTAGTTTGCTGCTCTCTTTTCTGAAATGAAAAAGCATCTAATTTATAATTCTCCACCCAAAAAAAAATTCAATACAAAACGATCTTTTTAATTTATTTCGGGCTTCAACAACACGCATTTAAAGATATCTAAAACCAGCTAATTAAAACAGTATTCAGGTACTAAACACATAAACTCAAGGGGAATAGCCAATAGGAACTAAAATCAGATCATTTTGTCTTCTTACTGCGGCACCAAATGGCTGCTCCATGTCCAATTCCTTAAATTTCATGCCGTTTGGTAGTTTCCAGTTAAAATGGCCATGTAAATTGGAAAGTAACAACTCTAAAATAGATGTCGCAAATGTTGATCCACGACATATTCTTCTTCCAGCACCAAATGGAATAGAGTCAAAGTTTGAAACTTTGAAGTCGTATTCAACCATTGTATCAAGAATCCTCTTTGGTTCAAACTTCTCTGGGTCAGTCCAATTCTTGGAATCTCTTCCAATGGTCCAAGCATTAATGATAATCTTTGTCTTAGGAGGTATCATAAATCCATTACTTTCGCAACTCTCATAATTTTCTCTTGGACCTAACAATGGCCCAGGTGAACATAACCTTAGGGTTTCCTTAATGACAGCACTTAAATATTTTAGTTGGTGAAGTTCTGATTCGTCTACATATCCTTTGCCTCCATAAATTCTTCTTACCTAATATAGAGCCAAAAAAATTACTCGTGCGCAAGTCAACTCAGTAATTTCAAATTTATAAATTAATGTAAAAAAAATAATTATGATACAATATTCAAAATTCTAATTGTATCTATACCTTTTCTTGTGCCTCTTTCATAGCCTTTGGGTTTTTGGGCAATTCTGACACCGCCCAATCTGCTGTAGATGCCGTTGAGTCAGTTCCACCAAACATGACGTCCTGAAAAAGGAATTCACACAATTGATAAGAGGAATTGATGAGTGTGTGCACTTCTGCATTTTGTGTATAAAATTACAAATCATCTAACATTTATTAATATATGATAATTAGTGCCTATGAAAACTAACTTTCGGAACAGCTTTAATGTTGTCAAGAGATAAGGGGATGTCAAAGTCATTGTTCTTTTGAATTCTGAGAAGAAACCTTGTCTCCTTTTTGCAACTTCATCATGCGAGCTCTCGTGCCAGTGATGACACTGATAAATTTCAGCGATGGATATAAATCACAAATAGATAACCCAGAACTCATTTTTATTGATTTCTCCATATTTTCCAAGATGTGTTCTACATTCCTTGTCTTTTTCCCAAAGGCCGTTCTAGCGACTATCGAATTCGTGATAGTGAATATTTTTCTACTGAGGTTTATGAAAGAGCCTTCATGTTCAGCGATGTTCCTCACAAGTTCTGATACCTCCTCTTCCCTAATCCTTCTGAATGATTGAACCCTCTTTGCTGAAAAAATCTCTAAAGTGCCAATCTTTCGAAGTTGCCTCCAATAGTTTCCACATGGGGAAAACAAGATGTCTGTGCTGTTGTGGGCAAAGATATCAGAGGCAAGAGTTCTGGGTCTGTTTGCGAAGATCTGACCATGGGTCTTCATTATGTCTTTGGGATATTCAGGTGAAGACACTATGATATGAGAAACCTGTCCAAGTTGAAGATGCATGAAGGGTCCATACTTGTTTGCTAGATATGTAAGAGTACGATGAGGTAGTGAGCCAATGAGTTAGTGAAGATTTCCTATAAGAGGTAATTTCCGTGGCCATGGAGGTAAGGTTTTTATCGGTTTTGTGGAAGAAGATAGCTTGTGGATGACAAAGAAAGAGCAGAAGAAACTGAAGAAGATGATAGAATATTTGATCTGTACCTCCATATGATCGTGATCGTTCGTATATTGAAAGAATGATGGCTTACTTGAAGTTAAGTTCGAGGTTTTATGTTTTCAAGCCACGCCTTTTATAGGCATGAACTGTAATTTATTTTGCAAGCAACCCTCTCTTTTTTGACGTAAATTTCATGCCATTGACTTGCTACAGTTGAAATAAAGTACTTATTGATATGAAATTTATATTAATAATTCCAGAATGTCTCCTTCATAGTCAGGGGGATAAAAAGCTGCCAAGTGCTTCATATGAAAATGATTATATTATTTAATGACAATGATTTCAGATCACAATTATAAAAAAATAAAAGTTATATTAAAATTAATTAATTTATCTGTCGTACGCTTTGTATGGCTTTTAAATCATAAACGCCAATTATAAATCCCTAGTGAAAGGCGATTATCGACGGTGGCTAATATGGTGGTCCATTTTTTTGTTTTTGGTGACATAGTGGTCCAGTGTTTTTGGACCAAATGTAGTGGTCTAGTTTGAAATAAAAAATTTCGGTCATTTTCATTAAAATATCAAACTATTCGTCCCCGCAAGCAAGTACACCTAATGAATTTTTTTATACCCTCTAATCTTTAATATAAGAATTATTCAACTAATTTGAGTATATAAATATTATTACTCTCTTCTCTTACAAAATAACCTCACTTCACTTGACTTGTTAAACAACTAAATTTTTTTTTTTGGTTGCCGAGAGTATCTTCCCACCCGAACTGTAAGAGATTAATCTCTCGAGATACTGTCAGGCGTCATAGTGGGGAATTGAGTATTATTACTCTCTTCTCTTACAATGGAATGTCCTAGTATTGGGCTAGTGAATAGATCTAAAAGGAAAGGAGGATTTCGTGAGGATGACAATGACTAGTTGGAGACACATATGGTTGGAATCTAACAATTTTCCTCCTATCTTTCACACATCCCTGAAAGATTCTGATCTACACAAAACATTCTGTTCTCCTCTTCTGAAAATTTTTTTGGTGGGCTAATGAGTTTGGTTTTTCTTGTGAGTAATGGATTTTTAATATATATGGGAATTCAATCATCACCATAATTTACATCTCTGGCCTCTATTTCCTTGGTAGAGATATATTGTGCAGCAAGCTATGGCGGAGTCAACTCTATTCTGATTTCTAAAACCAATTTAGTGTACTCTGTATTGCGAAATTCAGTTATGTGTTATTTATGAATTCTTTTAATAGAAAAAAGTATTAAAAAAACACTACTGCAAATAGGGTCATTTTGGTCACTCATTTTTGTCTGTTTTGAAAAACAAAAAAATATGGGCCTTCAAACGAGTATATTCGTCTGTTCCTCATAACAAATGTGTATGGGAGACTATACTCGCTTGTTATGTTCTAATAGACGAGTATGGGCTCCCATACTCATTTGTTATGATGAACAGACCAATATGAGCTCCCTATACTCATCTATTTCTCTTAAAAACAGATGAAAAGCATCTTTTTTATTTAAATTTCATCTTTGTCTTGCACATATTTGAACATACTCTAGAAGTATGCCTTCTTCTTTCTTCTTTGTGTGTGGCAAGCTCTTTCTCTCCCTTCTTTAGATTTCTACTTCTCCTTTTTAGTGCCGATGGTGACGATTAAGTTTGTCTTCTCCCTCCCTAGCTAGTAGCTCATTGTCTTCTTCTATCTCTCTCTCTCTCTTCCCCATTCTTTTTCTCCCTCTCTTCCCCATTCTTCATCCATGTCATCCCATGACTAGGAGCAACATTTTCTTCCACAGAAGTCGTCATTCAATATCGTCCACCTTAAGCCTGTTCACAACACAAGGTAAGTAGCATGGGTGTGTGTCTTTTATATTGTATGAGTTTTTAGATGTTGAAAGGAATTAATGTGACTGTTTGTAGGTGTATATGTTTTCTTCTTTTTTTTTGATATCAAGGTGTATATGTTTTCTATTTAAATTGGTTGTTGGTAATAATTGCACTTATGAATTATTCAACATTGATTGGGTAACATTTTGATGATTAAAAACCTTGCTAAATTTGTTTAAACCTTAATGCACATAAGGTGTTTGTGAAAATATCTAAGAGAGCAATTTGATTGGAATGTAATGGTTAATTAAGTATTTTCAATGTTTAATCTTTACATAGAATTTTAGAAAACATATGTGTGTGTGTGTGTGTGTGTAACTTTATTTTTATTGCATTGTAGGTAGACAGTGTTGGGAGAAGTGTGCTTCAACTTTTATTGGAAAGCTTGAGTTGAATATTACAATCATCCTAATTAATATTGCAAGCAAGCTTGAAATTGATCTTTTTGTTAGGATGCTTATTCTTATTGCTTAACTAGGGTAGGATGTCATTAGATTTTTTGGTTTTAAAGCTTTCTTCTGTTATATGACTAACTTATGCTATTTAGTTGTTTTTGCTTAACTAAGTTAATTAATTAGGATGTTATTTGTTTGAAATGTTTTGACCCTTAAAATTATGGATTGACTGGATTCTATTTTTATAGAAAACATGTCATTTGGTTGTGCCAAATTACTATTATTATTTGCTATAATCTGTTTTAGTTTTGCTTTATGTGTGCTTTTATAATTGCAAGTTAAATAAAAACTAGCAACATGGAAATTTTTACCTTTTTTTTTAAAAAAAAAACATATTCGTTTGTTTCATAATAGACGAATGTATGAATGCCAATATTCATCTGTTTTAAAACAGACAAATATATAATTACAATCTATGTCTCCTCTATCAACTTCTCCTCTAAAACAGACAAAAAAAAAAAAAAGAAGCCTTAAGAGCAGACAAAAATAACATATTTTGTAGAAGTGAAATGACAATATTAAGCATAGTTATAACAGTTAGAAATTTATAGGCCTTTTCTCTTCTATCTGATGATAAGTTTTTAGTATTGTTTTTGTATATCTGCAAATAAGGGAAAGGAAAATAACTATATGATTCAGCCCAAACGCCACTTTGCTAGTAATCAATTAAGCTACTAAAACCGGACAGGTAATTAAATTGGTCAAAACAATAATTTAAGGCTAAGCGGTCCAAAGGTATAATTGAACCAGGGTAAACCCAACTATCATTAAAATGATATAATTTAATTAAATCTTATAGAATTATACATATATAATTCTAAAAAAAGTAATATTTAAAGAAAAACATAATCCACGAGTAAATGAAAGATTTATGTATAGATCACAAGAAAATCTAATCAAATAGAATTACTAAAATATGAATCTAATGAGCTATTATTTGTTAACTCAGCATGGTATCATTTCAAACTAAGCAGCGTAAGGAGAAAAACAAATATAAAGTCCAACCCAATAAACTTGTACCCAACGCTCATGATCAGAAAACCAAAAGTCCAAAAGAGTAGTTTATTCATTTAATAGTTTGACTTACCGACTTAATTGAGTTTTAACGCCGTGTGACAAGGACATATAGTACTAAGGAGAACAGCCAATAGGAATTACAATTAAATCCCTTTTCCTTCCTACTGAGGCCCCAAATGACTCATCCATATCTAACTCCTCAGGCTTCATCCCGTTTGGAAGTTTCCAATTAAAATGGTAAAGCAAATTGGAAAGCAACAACTCTAAAACAGGTATAGCAAATGTAATTCCAGGACATATTCTTCTTCCAGCCCCAAACGGGATATACTCAAAATTTGAACCTTTGAAGTTGTAATCAACCATTGTATCAAGAAACCTCCTTGGTTCAAACATCTCTGGATCATTCCAATTCTTGGGATCTCTTGCAATGGCCCAAGCATTAATGATAATCTTTGTCTTGGGTGGTATCACATATCCATTAATTTCACAACTCTCATAGTTCTCTCTTGGAACCAACAATACCCCTGGTGGATGCAACCTTAGAGTTTCTTTTATAACAGCAGCTAAATATTTTAATTGGTGAAGTTCTGATTCATCTACGTATCCTTTGCCTCCATAAACTCTTCTTACCTAATATAAAGCCAATAATAATTATCATATATAAGTCAAATCAATAATTTCAATTTTATAATTAATTTCAACAAATAAATAATGGCCTTTTTGTTGGAGATTAAAATAAGTGATTGATTTTCAATCTATTTTAGATTTTATGAAAAATTGACGTTGCTTTTTGTTTGGTCATTATATGACTTATTGTTTTTTATTCTGATTATTTTCAAAATTCAAATAAAAATAATCAAATAAAAGTGTTTTTAACCCTTAAACGTGTGGTCAATGATTTTTTTAAAAAAAATCTAAAACGAGCGGCCTTAAATGACTTGGGGTTTGGTAAGAGTCATATTTGATACACACACAAACACAACTCACGAAATTGTAAGAGAGTATTTTCAAAGTTTTTGTTGTGCCTATACCTCTACCTGTGCCTCTTTCATAGCCTCTGGGTTTTTGAGCAATTCTGACATTGCCCAGTTTGTTGTCGTTGCTGTTGTTTCAGTTCCAGCAAATAAAACATCCTGAAAAAGGAATTCAAACAATTGCTTAGAGAGATGTGTATGCGCATGTGTTTATGTACGAAATTACAAATTTATAACGTTTATAGGAGTAAAGTGCACACGAACTAACTTTAAGAACTGCTTTAATGTTTACGAAAGATAATGGGATCTCAAAGTCATTATCCTTTTGAATCCTGAGAAGAACATCAACCAGATCCTCCTCATACTCTCCATCATTGTTCCTTTTCTTTTCTCTGTGTTCCCTGATGATATCATCAAACACTCTATCACCATCTTTCTGCGCTTTCATAATTCTAGCTCTCATCCCAGTGACAACACTAATAAATTTCAGTGAAGGATAAAATTCGGAAATTGATAAGCCAGAACTTAGCTCTGTCACATGTTGCAGATTATGCAGGATATATTCTACATTATCTGTCTTTTTGCCTAAGGCTGCTCTTGCTACTATAGAATTTGTGAGTGCGAAGATATTTTTGCTAAGGTTTATGGCAAAACTTTCATGCTCAGAGATGTTCCTCAAAAGTGCCGACACCTCCTCTTCCCTTATTCTTCTAAAAGTTTGAACGCTCTTCGGTGAGAAAAGCTCTAATAGACAAATCTTTCGAAGTTGCCTCCAATAATTTCCATATGGGGAGAAGACAATATCTGTACTATTGTAAGAAAAGACGTCAGTGGCAAGACTTTTTGGCCTATTTGCAAAGACCCGATCATGTGTCTTCAATATTTCTTTGGCATATTCAGGTGAAGACACTATGATATGAGAAACCTGTCCAAGTTGAAGATGCATGAAGGGCCCGTACTTGTTTGCAAGATTTGTGAGAGAACGATGAGGTGGCGAGCCAGCAAGTTGGTGGAGATTTCCGATGAAAGGTAATTTCCATGGACCTGGAGGTAGGGTTTTGGTTTGTTTCTTGGAAGAAGATAGCTTCCAGATTAGAAAGAAGAAGCAGGAGAAAGTGAAGATAATGGAATATAGAATCTGTATCTCCATATTGAAAGAATTTTAATTAAAGCTAAGTGTGAGGTTTGATATTGTGAAATTATACCTTTTATATGACATAACACTCTTTCCCGTCTTTTCGGGCTGATGCAGATTATCACAATTTACTCTACCTCCAATTGTTAATATAAAATCCAGTGGACTAACTTTTAACAAGATCAAGAAAGCAAAATAAATTATTTTAAAAGATTACTTTCGGTCGTTAATATACAAGCTAGTTAAGTAATTTGAGTAGATTAACAAAATTAGTTATGTTAGTTATTTATAAAAATAGGTGTTGTCTTACTTAAAATATCCTTACTAATCAAATGTCATTTAATTAAATATTTAACATGTGCAACTACTATAAAGATAATCTTAAAAAAAAAGATAAATATGATAGACAAAAGTGGATTGAGGTCTTATATTTAGTACCAAATTAAAAGTCAAACTAGTTCTTATGTTAAGGACCGGAGGTAATACTATATTTATCATTTTTCTCCAAACCACTTTACTTGGCTTCAAAAATAGTTATTATCTTTTCTTAATATAAAACCCAGCTTGTTAGATTTTAAAAATTACAGAAGTTAAATAAATTATTTTAAAATATTTTATTTATCATTTTTTAAAACTAATTTACTTGAAAGTGTTATATTTATTGTGTTTTTTCAAATTAATTTGCTCAGTTTATATTGTTATATAATCCAATCATACACATAGATATTTTAGAAAGATCATGTAGTTTATGATATAATTAAGTAATTTTTAAACTTCTTTACTTTTTTTGAAAAATTAATCAACTATATCTTGTATGTTAAGTATGATTTATCCTTTATTTAGTTATTTATTTTTGTTTTAACGTATATCTCACGCCGCTGACAACTTGCCGTGTATGTTACGTTGTCGGCGAGGTGTAAAATTCCACAAATGTCGTTATATATCCTTTTATTGTTGGCGTGTAAAATAAAGACAGACTTCATGAGGTGGCGAGCCATCAAGTTGGTGTAGGTTTCCGATGAGAAGTAATTTGACTAATTTCCATGGCCCTGGACCTGGAGGTAGAGTCCTGGGGGTTTCTTGGAAGAAGATAGGCTGCAGATCAGAAAGAAGAAGCAGGTGTATGAGATACGCATTTCCATACTTGCGTATGTATTGAAAAGCTGAAGGAATGATAATTAGATATTTTTATATAGAAATCAAATGATAATTAGGACATACAAAATATATAGAAAGAGTTTTATCAACTTAAAAATATTTTTAAAAATACTTTTTAATTAATTATACCAAACTCCCTAGAGCTAGGCGCAGGCTTTTGTGTTGTCAAGTCAAGTCATGCCTGCTGTACTCAATAATTGGTGCGTGATTTCTTTATTTTTGTTTTAATTTTATTACATTCACTTTCCGAGTTTAACTATTAAAAAAAGATTTTTTTTATATATTTATATATGTTATGTCATATTCACAATGCAAAATTCCACAAATGTCCACATCACTGTCTGCTGTGACTAGGGTTGTAGTTGAAATTCAAGTGTTAGAAATGATAGCTTTGATACAAAGACGAAATTACATTAATTAATTACATTCCTCAAGGCCAGTCGATTCTCATTAAAGAGGTTGGTTAAAAACTAAATTATAATTTTAAAAATAATTTTATAACATACAAGATATACATATGTAAAAGAAATTTATTTCAATTTATGCAAAAATATTTTTTAAAATGATTTTGAGATGTCCAAAACACCTCAATTGGGTTACTGTTGTGATGAAAGTTGTTTCATTGTCGTCCAAAATATAATTGATGGTTCAGATTAAAATTATTTAATATGTAATTTTTAATAATGAATTTATTTCTTAGAAGTGATAATCATAAAATTCCTTATTTTAAATTATATATCTATTAAAATAAATATATATTATATAAAGATATTTAAATTAATAGTACCTTTGGTCCTAAAATTAGAGTTAGTTAACTAATTTTAGTAAATTAAGAAAATACGTTAAGTTAGTTATTTATAATAAATATGTGTTGTCTATTCTAAAATATCATTGCTAATAAAATGTTTTGGCAAGAACTACCTTTATTATAAAGGTTATCTTAAAACAAAAATAGATAATATGAAAAATAAAGTAATTAATATCTTATTTTTAAAATAAAAATAAAACAAAATCTTGTATTAAATATCAGAAGTTGTAGCATATTTGGGATAAAGTTTGGAAGGCCTAAACTGCAAATGTACGGGACCAGACCAAAACAAGGGTGAAGAAATCGGTTTGTAATAATAATAGAACTAAGTGAGTTTTGGTCCGAAAGCCACTTTAAAGCGGAATTGACATTTTAAATTTTATTTAGATTTAAATCTTTTGAAAATGATACTTTAGTACTTCATCTAAACAAGTTTATTTTATATAAAACAAACTTTTTTTTATAAACAATTATCCATTATACTAATTTAGTTTTATCTTAACTTCAATTTATTAAAAAGTCTGTTGAAATAAAATTCACCTAACAACCATTAATCCAAACAAACTAGTATAAATCTTGATGATTCAAGATTAATCTGAATGGGTCACATATTGAGGAGTATGCAATAATGCACTCCCAACTCCCAAGTCCCAAAACCAGCCTGCTGTTTCCAATATAAAAAAGGGGAAATTGTGGAACCCAGAGATGCCATTTTCATGTGACCAAGCAAAAGAAAAGTCCGCATTATTAGCATCAATGGAATTTTTTTTAAAAAAAATTCTTTTAATATAAAAAGTAACATTATTAAAAGATAAAATGACTACGTAAAGAAATTCAAATTAGACTAGAAGACCAGACACATTCGAGCAATGATGCACAGAACCCGACTCACATAGAATATGCCAAGGACAAATTGGAACATACTGATGAACACGGGAAAAAAAGAAAAAAGACAACCTGATCGGTATTTGAATATAAGGAAAAGGACTAGCCTTTCACAAATATAACTAACTAAAATTTAAATTTTTGTTAAGCGAAATATCTGTATTTAGTACATGACATTATTTTCACTAAGATAATACTTGTACTTGGAAAAAAACCAACAACAAAAAATGGTTTTGTACTAGTTAAGTTATGATGGTAGGCTTTTTCTATCCTATATGATGAGTCTGTCGTGTTCCAAGGGGAAAATAAACCAAGAAGATGATTCAATCCATGAAAATAAAAAACAGAGGTTAGAGAATGGAGAAACATAGTTAAGTCGATCATAATTGTGTTCTTTAATCATCCTACCACATTAATTTCCTCAAAAAAACAAAATAAGTCATTCCTCATGAATCGGATTCTTCTGATTAAGTTCTTTTTATGGCTTTCTTAATATAAAGACTCCTTATATACATTATTATTTTTGGTGTTTGGATCTATAAAATTTGAGTACTTTCTTTGCAAATGTTGCTTGTGTACTTTGTATTATTCTAAAACACGAATTTTGCTTCTCGCGACAAATTATTTAACTCATGAAGAGACTGATAGCTTCTTATAACATCAGAGTTGGGGTTTTGAGAGACTGTTTTTTTAAGTTCTAATTATTCTTTTTGTTTAATCAATTTAATGAAAAGTAGTATTGGAAGGACGTGGGGACCGTCTAATAATAAAAACAAGTACTCTACTGGCTTTGTATCTCTTCTCCTTTGTCTATTTTTTAATGTATATGATTGCAGGTCACATTAATTGTAACTTTTGACCAATAAATGTTCAATTCAAAATGATATCATTTTATCATTCATTTAGTTTCTAGCGTCCACAGCATAGATTCAAGGACATCTAAAAGTACTGAAAAACCATTCATTCGGATAATAATTAAACACACACACACACACAGATATATATATATATATATATAACCTATATACTAAGGATAAAAATTAAATCCTTTTTCCTTGCTACCATAGCACCAAATGGCTCATCCATGTCCAATCCCTCAGCTTTCATCTCCTTTGGAAGTTTCCAATCAAAGTGGTAAAGCAAATTAGAAAGTAACAATGCCAAAATGGATGTAGCAAATGTAATTCCCGGGCATATTCTTCTTCCCCCACCAAATGGAATGTACTCAAAGTTTGAACTTTTGAAGTCGTATTTATCCATTGTTTGAAAAAACGTCTTTGGTTCAAATCTCTCTGGCTCGTTCCAAATTTTGGGATCTCTTCCAATAGCCAGCTATTAATGATAATCTTTGTTTTAGGAGATATCACATATCTATTAATTTCGCAACTTTCACTGTTCTCTCTTGGAATCAATACTACTGGTGGATGTAGCCTGAGAGTTTCTTTGATGACAGCACTTAAATATTTTAATTGGTGAAGTTCTGATTCATCCACGTATTCTTTGCTTCCATAGACTCTTCTTACCTAAGATGTAAAGGCTCTAACAATTACTAGATGCAAGTCAACTCAGTAAATTCAAATTTATAATCAATATCAATAAAATAAATAACTGGATTTAAAAAATTTATTTTCAATCTATCTTGAGATTTTGTTGAAAAATTGACATTATTGAACGTTTGGTTATAATCATGCATGATGATTTATTGTTTTAAATTCTGATTAATTTTAAAATTAAAAAAATCAAATTTCCAAATACCGTTCCCCGCCAAAAATGTCAATGATTTTTAAAAAAAAAAATCTAAAAAGAACAGCCCTAAATGATGAGGTATAATAACAGCCATCAAGCCCTATTTATACACACACATACGCAACTTACAAAATTGTGATGCAGCACTTTCAAAGTTCTTGTTGTGCCTATACCTCCGCTTGTGCATGCCTCTTTCATAGCCTCTGGGTTTCCGAGCAATTCCGACATTGTCCAGTTTATTGTAGTTGCTGTTGTTTCAGTTCCAGCGAAAAAAAACATCCTAAAGAAGGAATTCAAACAACTGATTAGAGAGATATGCATGTATGTGCATGTGTTTTGTGTATTACAAATTTGGTTTCTAATATAAAAGCTCGTTTAACTTTTATTTTGGTTCTAAGTATAAGACCCTCATCTATTTTGCCTCTCATATTTATCTTCTTTTTTTTAAGGTAATCATTGTAATAATGGTAGTTCTAGCCAATATACTTGATTAGCAAAATTATTTTAGGAAAGATAACATTTATTTATTACAAATAGTTAATGTAACAAACTTTCTTAATCTAATCAAATTAGTCAATTAGTTTTTATATTAAAGACCGGATGTAGTATAAAGACCGGAGGTAGTATATACTACCTCTGGTCCTTAATATAAGAGCTGGTTTGACTTTCAATTTGATTATAAATATAAGACCTTAATCCACTTTATCTCTCATATTTATACATTTTTTTTCAAACCAGTCCTCATACTAGTTGTAAATGTTAAATATTTCATCAAATGACACATGATTAGCAAGAGTATTTTAGGAAAGACAACACATATTTATTATAAATAACTAATTCAACTAATTTTTTAATCTATTTAAATTAGTCAACTAGCTCTTATATTAAAAACATGGTAACATTTATGGGTAAAGTGCACGCAAACTAACCTTAAGAACTGCTTTAAGGTTTTCAAGAGATAATGGTATCTCAAAGTCATTATCCTTTTGAATCCTCAGAAGAACATCAACTAGATCCAGCTCTGCTTCCCCAACATTATTTTTCTCCTTTTCTTCGTGGTCTCCGATGATGCCATCGAACACTTTATCTCCATCTTTGTGCAACTTCATCATTCGAGCTCTCGCCCCAGTGATGACACTGATAAATTTCAGCCAAGGATAGAAATCGAAAATTGATAATGCAGAGCTTAACTTTGTCATCTGCCCCAAATTTTGCAGGACATGTTCTACATTCTTTGTCTTTTTGCCAAAGGCCACTCTTGCCACTATAGAATTGGTGAGTTCCAATATCTTTTTACTGAGGTTCATGACAGAACCTTCATGTTCAGAGATGTTCCTTACCTGCGTCGATGCCTCTTCTTCCCTTATTCTTCTAAAAGCTTGAACCCTCTTTGATGAGAAAAGTTCCAAAACACAAATCTTTCGAAGTTGCCTCCAGTAGTTTCCATATGGGGAAACTGCAATATCTGTGCTATTGTAAGAAAATATATCAGTGGCAAGATTTTTGGGCCTGTTAGCAAAGATCTGATCATGGGTCATCATTATTTCTTTGGCGTATTCAGGTGAAGACACTATGATATGAGAAACCTGTCCAAGTTGAAGATGCATGAAGGGCCCGTACTTGTTTGCTAGACTTGTGAGAGAACGATGAGGTAGTGAGCCAGCAAGTTGGTAGAGGTTTCCAATGAGAGGTAATTTCCATGGCCCCGGAGGTAGGGTTTTGGTGGGTTTCTTGGAAGAAGAAGAAGAAGATAGCTTGCAGATCCGAAAGAAGAAGCAAAAGAAGGTGAACATGATGGAATATGGGATCTGTATCTCCATATTGAAAGAATTGTTAATTAAAGCTGACTGTTAAGTTTTGCGCTGTGAAATAATGCTTTATATAACAAAACATTTTTTTCCTGTCCTTTCGGGCGGAGACAGATTATCATAATTTATACTACGTCTAATCCATAAAACAAGATCCAATTTATTAATTTAGAGAGATTAAGACAGTTAATATTTATGATTTTTTAAACTAATTTGCTCATTTTATAAATTTATATATAATATAATTATGCATATAAGTATATTAAAGAGATCATGTAACATATAATATAATTAAGTAATTTTTTTTAACTTAATTAATTTTTCCAAATTAGTCAATTAAATTTTATATATGGAAGATAGTAAGACTTTATGATTTATTCTTTTTTTTTTTAAACGTATATCTCATGTTACTGATAAATTGCTCTATCAGCAAGGTTTACCTATAAGTTTATATTATACTATCTCCGCCTCTCTAGTCTTAATTATAAGATTTTATTTGTAAACTACAAATAAGGTTTTATAATTAAAACCGAAGGTAGTATCATTTTTACAATGTAAAATTTCACAAATATCTTTATATCCTTTTACTGTTGGTGTGCATTGTAATTTGCACGTAAAATAAAGTTCGACTTTATGATTCTTTCCTTTATTTTTGTTTTGACGCAAATTTCACGCCATTGACCTGCTGCAGTTTAAATAAAGTTTGTTGATAATTTTAAATTATCTTAACCACAAGTTCAAAGAAACTGTCGATATTGGTAAATACGTGGGCCCCTTTGAAATAAAAATTCAAGTTAAAGGTTTTTGTCCTTGAACTATACTCTATATATTATGGCAGGTACTATGGTGAACGCGAATAGAGCCGGTAATATGGGTTAGACCCGTGGGTCCAACCCGCCAACCCACCAAAAATGGCGGGTTAGGGTTGGCCAAAAGCCAACCCGCCACTACCTTAAAAAATATAACCCGCACCGCCATAACCCTAACCCAGGCCAACCCGCGGGTTAACCCACCTTTTTTTAAAAAAAAAAAAAAGATAACAAAGGCAAAAGTAAAGCAAATTTTTACTTCAAACTTTATTGTCATTAGAAATAATTAGATAAATAAAGTTATTCAATATTGCTCATTGGTTTCATTGAAAAAAAAATATGTGAACTTGTGTATTATCATGTTGGAAAATTGGACAATCATATACTATTTGTATTTTATTGTGTTGTAATTTTTATTTGGATGTTTCTAATATTTTATATCATTTTTAGTATTTTTATTTTGTATTATATATAATTGCTAACATTTAAAAAAATAAGAAAATTTAAAAAAAACAAAAAAAATAAAAAAAAAATTTTGGCGGGTTGGTGGGTTGGCTCGCCAACCCACCTTGGCGGGTTAGGGTTGGCAAAATGCCAACCTGCTAGAAAACGGGCCTTTTGAGCCCGCACCGGACAACCCACAACCTGCCACGGGCCAACCCGCAACCCGCGAGTTGGCCCATTTTACCAGCCCTAAACGCGAATTCTCTCTCTAAAACCACCGACAGTAACCAAGACGATGGAGATCCGGCAAAACGCCGGTCCAAAAACTTCAAAAGAATCAACAGAGAGTCATTGGAGGTGTCTGAGGAAATGCAGGGTAACGAAAAACCGGAATCGTTTAAGGACAAACTACTTGGAGCAAACCACAGGGCGTGCTTTGGGGACAAGAGGGGGAGTAGGGTTTTGGACGATGCTTGGAACGACTATCTCAATAGCTTGAAGGCTTACTTCTGTGACGAATCAGATCGAAACCAGGAGGAGGACGAATATGAGGAGTGCCAAACCCTCAGGCCTCGTTTGGTAGGTGGGATTGGCTTTTGATGGAATGGGAATGGTATTGGGATTGGGATTGGGAATGAGGCTTTTATTTTATGTTTGATTCGAGGTAATATTAGGAAGGAATAAACACATCCATTTTACTGTATAATAAAATATATAAGATTAAAAGACCAGAATACCCCTTGCGTTATTTTAGGACTTGAGACTCCAACCTTGTGCATTCTTTTTTGGATAAAAAGGAAACTTTTTTTCCCCAAAAAATAAATGCATTAAATTTTGCCTCTAGTTATAACAAAAAATAATAAATTAAATATTTTAAAAATCAGAAATGGTTTTCCATCATATTCTAACAAATTTATATATAAAAAAGTAATAAAAAAATCAATAGTAATTAAATTGAATAGTTAAAAAATCATTAATAACTTCCAAAAGCCATCGTATTTCACTTTGCCTCATCCTTATTCTCGTGACGCACATGAATCGAGTTAAAGAGAACAATCGAACCATAATTTCTTCCATCAACCAATAAAGATAAAGAATTGTGGGTTTTTTTAAAAATGACAATAAAGAATTGCTAATCAACGGCTCATAAAAATTAAACATTAGCAAAAGTGGGTTTTTTTAGACAAAATATGTAAAACAAAATACCCATCAAAATAAAGAATATATTAGACAAAGTACACATCAAACAATGTAATATCTAACATAAAATATTCACCAAAACAAGCAGGATCTAAAACAAAATATCTATCAAACCATCGAATATCTTAAACAAAAGATCCATCAAAATGAGGAAGGTCTGAAACAAAATATCTGTTAAAGAAGGAATGTCCATGTCAGCTAGATCCATCAAAATAAGAAATATCCCAAAAAAAAAAAAGATCCATCATAGCCTATGCATTTATTTGGCAGACCAAATCTGCTTTTGCATCTTGAGGCATGGCATAGAATCCAATTAGTATGCTCTCATCAGAAATCATCTTAACATAGGCCGAAAGACGCTCTTGATGAGAAAGTCCTTCAACCTTCAAAAGTTCACCATAGAGCGACTCCTTCATCCCATCCAGGCACTTCTCACGATCAACCCTGTCAATATGCATTCCTAATCGCTCACTTGCTTCCTTAAAACCTTCAATTGAATTAGCAAATTTCTCCATTCCAAGGATAAGCACATCGTCACGATCAATGCTTTTGCGCTTGCGTTTTTTCAACCCAGAACTTGCCTCAGATGGAGAGTTATTAGTTTCAGTTTCTAGTGGACTGTTATTTGGTGGTGGAATATTTCCATGAGAGATATCTATGTCAGCCTCAAGATTAGTCTCAAATGTTGAATTGTCTACACCATTCTGATCATCTATCTCTTCAATTACATCTTCACAAGCTTGAGCATCCTTCCCAGTTGCCCTGTCCTTCCCATAGATATCATGAAGCTCTTCATAATGAGGGAAGGACTTATTCCTAAACCTAGCAGCATCCTTGTTCACCTATTTCCATAAAATCAAATATAATAGACATAAAAATGACAATGCAAAACTAGATAAGTAAATTTTCCAACCATTTTTTTACAGCTAATCAAAACCAGATATCTATACATGATAAATAATTAGATTTACCTTGATAAGCTCATCCCATACTGCCTTTGGAGCTGTCATACATTTCTTCTCGCTATCCCAACCAAAACCAGATAATTTCAGAAGGTCAGAAACAACACCATAGTTAGTTTTAAGCTTCTTAATCCTAGATTGGATGTGAGGATGGGCCTTTAAACTACATCCAGGTATAAGACCATGAAGCATGTCCTGTAATTGGTTCAAGACACGAGGCCTAAGAACATTTTCAGAAACAAGTTCACCCTTATCATGTAGTATCATCATGCACTGGATTAGTAGCTCATCCTCCTCAGGTGTCCACACATGCTTATCTGACTTTCCTGATTTGTCTGACATGTTTAATCAACTATAACATTTAAAATACGTTAGAACCTCACATAAAATTAATGCAACCAAGAACCTTCATACCATAAAGTAGCAATAGTACACATGGCAAAGAGTCATAAACTAAATCACAGCATAAATAAAGTTACAATAGTACAAAAGGCATAGATAAAGTTACAATAGTACAAAAAGCATAGATAAAGTTACAATAGCACACATGCCATAGATAAAGTTACAACATTACACATGGAAAAGAGTCACAAACCAAAAAAAAACAACAACTTCCAAATTAAGTAATTCTTTCATGCAGCTGTTCTATTAGCAGTAAAAGTGTTGAACATTTCATTGGCAAGATTGTCCCTAAAGGCAGCCCATTCATCATATGCATCTATGTTTAGAATTGGAGGGTTCTCCACCCCGCCCACATGAACTTCCATTTCTTCAACGTCATCTTCTAGAGGATCTATACCTTCTTATCGAATTAAGTTGTGCAATAAGCAGCAAGCAATTATTACTCGGTTGTATGTTCTAATGGGATAAAATGATGGGCTTCTTAGAATAGCCCATCTTAACTTCAAAACTCCAAAACACCTCTCAATTACATTTCTTGCAGAAGAGTGTCTCATGTTAAAGTACTCTCGTGCATTTCTAGGATGTCATCCATCTCTCCATTCATTTAAATGATATCTTTGTCCTCTGTATGGTGCAAGAAATCCTTCACAATTGGTGTACCCAGCATCAACTAAGTAATAATGACCTTGTGGAACTCTTAAGCCATTCCTCCTACTAATGGCGTCACGAAGAACACATCCATCTGCTACAGATCCTTCCCACCCAGGCAGAACATATATGAAATACCTGTCTTGTGAGCAAACACCTAACACATTTGTTGTAATCTCCCCTTTCCTATTTCGGTATCTAGCTTTGTCAATATAAGGAACTCTCAACTTAATGTGAGTTCCATCCAATGCACCTAAACAATGCTGAAACAAAGAAAATAAATATTACACACTTTACACATATCCCTAAAAATTAATAACGAGGATATAACATGTATATTAACCTTGAACCACTTCCACTTATCATCATTTGAATCTTCCAGCACAGGTTTTGGTTTCTTCCATAACATATCTCCAAGTCTCATCATACCATTGAGTACCAAGTTAAAATACCTACTAATAGTTTCTCCAGATCTACCAAAATTGTACTGTATTACTCTATTCTTCACATGATGTGCTAATATGTGTAAAAATATTGCAACTTGCTCATCTACAAGCATATTCTTACTAGGCTTCAAACCACCACATCCCTTAGTAATAAACATAACTTATCAAATGTTGTCCTATTCATTCTAAGTAGGTTGTAACATGCTACGTCACTACTACACACCAATCCCTTTAGATAAGATCTCTTAGCAATAAAGTCCATTTTGTAAGGTATGTGTCTAATTCTTCGCCTTCTTGATATGACAGTCATGCACGCACATAAAAAAAAAACCCTCCATTGCCTTAGCCATGCTCACCCACAAAAGCAACAAACGTAATAATTCTCTCTTTTCTTTTGATAGTGCCATAACTGTATAACCAATTATGTAGAGTCATAAAAATTTTGTTTAACATGTATAAATTATAATCATTGACTGAGTTTAGCCTCATTCAACTATATTTTTCTTTTTGGACAAAGAACATCCAAATTTTTTTTAAAAAAAGACACTTGTAAGAGACCATTCAACAATACAAGGTAAAGAACTTTGTAGGAGAGCACTCGCATGTCCCAATAGATGTATAATGCAGTGTAAAGAGTTAAAGCTTCAAGGATCCAGTAAATATTTGCTTTGATAAAAGAGACACACAGCACTTCGTAACCTTCACAGAAAATCTGTTTTTCATGACAAGCCACTGTACAAAGAAAAGAATTTTATTTCACCTATATAGAGAAACAAATCAATGCTTAATACATCAAAAAAAAAAGCATAGAGATAAATTTAAAACTAGAGCTCTGTATGCTTTGTCAGGGGAAATTCTGAAAAATTGTGGCAGATTACATACTCTTCCTTCAAGCCTCCAAATTTCAAATGCAATTGGCTTCAAAACCAAAAGGCTATAAAGACTGTATTATTTATAAATGAAACCATAGGCATAATAAGAAGATCATACTCATAACTCACAGCACTCATTTTCGATGCAATTATATGACATCCCATAATGGAAGAATCTAAGACTCGGATGGGAAATAAGCATGTTTAGAGAGAGATTCTAACATAAGATTACCATAACAAAAAATTTACTGTCACACATTTCTGGTTTGACGCCGTGAACACAGGAAAAAGGGGGCAATGACAATTGCGGTCATACTCAACAATTAGGAACAATTTGAATATGAAGCCTTCTCAAGTCGTATCTATGTATTCAAGGTGGATCTCACTGGGCTTAACAATCAAAATTATAAAGCCTTCTGATGGTTAATTAAATTGCAACAATCAAAATATCACAATAAGAAGAAATATGAATAGAACGTTAGCGATGAGTTTGTATCAGGTTGCAATATTAGATTTATCAATAAATACCTAGTAGAACAGAACGACTTGGAGATGAAATCAATCAGCTAGACCATCTTAAGATTTTACAGAAATAACATATATGTAATCATATTCTTCATCATCTTCTCTTAATCATATATAATTCTTTGACCAACAACAATGGCTTTATCAAATGGTTTTAAATAGGGATAGAGTTTATCTTACCAGTCGTTGAAAAGGATTGGACAAAGAGAGTGATCGGGAGCAACTCCGAGGGCGACGGCACGAGCAATAGTCGAGAGCATGTGTGAAGATGGCTATAGAGGTCGACGAAATATTTCAGAATGATAGAAGAGAAGAATAAATTAGGGCAAATGTAAGAAGGTTAAACTTGTCCAAATTTTATTATAAGTGGGGATATTTTTGTCTTCAAAATTTTCAATCCCAGGTCTTAAAATGCAATACCAAGGGGGAGGTGGGTTTGCCCAATCCCACCTATGTGGTAATGTGCAATCCTTGGGCTTCTTTAATACCACCTACCAAATATGCTTATTTGACTGATTCCCTATCCCAACCCCTGTCCCGCGCCTCCAGTGTTGCGTACCAAACGTGGCCTCAGGGTCACGAAGGAGGAATATGAGAGGTGGTGTGCACCGTGGAAAAACTCTCTTATTGTAAAGCTCATGGGGAAAGCCTTTCCACTATGGTCTATGAAACTAATCTTGAGCGCCTATGGAAAATAGAGCATGGCTTTACCATACGTGATCTGGACAATGGCTACTTTGTAGTCTCCTTCGAAGATGAAGATGATATGCATTCCATCTATCAAGATGACCCCTGGATGATTGCGGATAGACACTTGATCATGCAAAAGTGGAGACCAAACTTTGACCCTTGGAAGGCCGAGCTCCAAAGAAGGCACCAGTGTGGGTGAGACTTCCCCGCCTACCTCTGGAGTTCTTTAATATTAAAAGCTTACAGTGCATAGGAAAACTCATCCGGAGAACTCTCAAGGTAGACATGATCACATACACAAGCGAGAGAGGAAGGTTTGCTTGTATCTGCGTCGAGCTTGACCTCCAAAAGAGATTAAAAGCTTCAATTAACATACTTAGCAACAAACAGATCCTAGAATATGAAGGCCTTCACTTGATATGCTTTCACTGTGGGAAATATGGCTATCATCGAGACGCATGTCTAGACTAGACTTAGGAGCAAACTCTGGGAAGGTTGTTCAAACTCCAATTTGATCCGGGCAGACAACAAAAAAGGTGAACACGGATTTGAATGAGATCCCAAAGAGCCAGAGGGCATTTGCAGGAAAAGATCCACACTGCATCTAAAAGTGGTGCAACCAAACATCCATGTGAGGAGCCAAAGGTCGGAGAGAGCTTCGGCAATGGTGAGCCGCCGTCGACAGAGAAGCTCGGCATCTGGAATTTAGTGCAATGGTACAAAGGGAGGAAACTAGGTAACAACGCTAAATCTGGGATTGGGATTTCTCAACACGCTAACAATTAACCTTCCAGAACGCAAGCAGATCAGAATCGTAAGTTTTATGGCGCTATTAGTGTAGAGACGTTAAATAAGCAAGAAAATAGCAAGAGCACAAGTTTTGCTACCGGTCAACCACATGTGAATCAAAAAGACTCTCATATTAAGAAGAGGCGGGTCCTGGTGGACCAAGCTAGCTTGTTAAAAAAACAACCATCCACAAAAGCCAAGGAGAATATCCCTCCAAAAGGTAACAACAAGAAGCCCACGTCTACAGGAACCCATGGTTACAACGTCCAGCTTCTAGAAAGCTCATAATCCTTTTACAACATTATCAAATCTAAATGAAAGTAGGCCCACACATGCACAAACACAACTCAGACTCCTTCGATTGGGCTCCAGAATTAGTTCGAAATTACAAAAGCCCACAATAGTGACAACATGGATGATGATCCTAATCCTACGATGCCAAGCGCTAGTGGCAAGTATCATGACATAGAAATGACTACGGCACCACCTGAGCGTCCCTAAAATTGTGACTCGACGCAAGAAATTATGATTGGGGAAAATCACCTAAAATCTAAGCACGAATGTCCCTCCATCAAGTGCTCCATGAATTACATATTTTGGAATTGTAGGAGAAAGGGGTCCAAGGCTTTTCTTGGATATATTCAAGAAATTAAAAAAAAAAAGATATAAGGTTGACTTTTGTGCTCTTTTTGAAACAAAGGCTAGTAGCAAGAGAGCTCGAGGCAGCAGTAAGAAACTAGGCTTCCAAAATGTCGAAGTTGTGGAAGCTACGGGTTTTCGAGGGGGCATCTGGTTATTATGGACCAATGATAGCTTTAATATCTCTATCCTGGAGTCTAACAATCAATTCATCCACACGATGGTTGAAAGGAACGGGGAGAAAATTTTCATCACTGCAGTATATGCTTACCTTAATGCTTTAGTTAGACGGGACCTTTAGGCACGGCTCCAACTCTTAAATCCGGGAAATGATTGGCCTTAGTTCATTGGTGGTAATTTTAATGCAATCCTCATGTCACACAAACACAAATCTAATGCCACTCATACAATATCGGTGGAGCGCAAATTTTGCCACTGGTACAATGACATGGAGCTTGCTGATATGGGTTGTTCAGGACCTTTCTTTACTTGGAAAAGGAATGGTTATGAGAGCAGAATAGATAGAGTTCTTTTCAACAACAAAGCTAAAGAGGTGTATATTGATGCTGTTGTTAAAAGCCTTCCTAGGTTCAAATCAGATCACAGGCCGCTCCTTCTCCAACAGAGACCTGGTATGTTTTCCCCTCTAAGTTAAGTCATATTTTTTGCTTTAACGCACCTTGGGTGTTGCATGATGATTTTAGCAGATTGGTAAAAGAGGCATGGAATAATACCGCTTGCTGGGATGCAAACATTAACTGCTTTATTGAGGCACTGGTTAGCTGGAGCAAATCTATGTTTGGGCACCTGGGTTGTTGCAAAAATCATCTAATGGGTCGATTAGAGGGTATATCTCCATAATTATAAGTCCCTCCTCATCACTCGAACAATTACAAAGACAGCTATGGCAGGAGTTGGGGGAAGTAATCATAGAGGAGGATTTTCTTTGGGCATAAAAAGCTCATTGTGATTGGCATACTCTTGGGGACAGAAACTCCAGATATTTCCATGCTAGAGTAAATGGTCGAAGAAAAAGAAATCCCATTGAGGTAATTAAAAAAGACAATGGTGAGTGGACGGATGATATTGAGTGCATAAAAGGCATTGCAACTAGCTTTATTAATTTATTCCAAGACGATGACTGTGAGTGTTCTCTAGGTAAGTATAACGTCTCCTACCCTCGCATTGAGAATTTTGAGATTGACGCTTTAAAAAGAGAGGTGAACATGGAAGAAATTAAACATGTTCTCTTTAGTATGGGAGCTCTAAAAGCTCTAGGACCTGATGATTTAAATGCTCTCTTTTATAAAAGCCAATGGGAGATTACAAATACTTCGGTGGTTTAAATGGTTAAAAGTGCTTTTATTGATCCTTCCATCATTAAATCCATCAATCATACTTTTATTGTGCTAATCCCCAAAGTAGACCATCCGAATTAGGGATTTCAGACCTATTAGTCTCGGGAATGTGATCTACAAGACTATTTCTAAAGTTGTGGTGAACAGGTTGAAGACCTACCTCCCAAAGTTAATCTCACCAAACCAATGCAGCTTTGTCCCTAGACGCACAAGTGCTAACAATATAATTGTTGCACAAGAAGTCATCCACTTGATGAAGAATATTACAGGGAAAAAAAGCTACATGGCAATTAAAATTAACCTGGAAAAAGCTTATGACAGGATTCAATTGAGATTCATCATGGGCTACTTGGATGAGATTGGGCTCCCTGACACACTCACACAAACTATTTAAGCATGCATATCCACATCGTCCATGCAAATACTATGGGAGGGGGATAAAGCCACCAGTTTCAATCCCACTAGAGGACTTCGGCAGGGAGACCCCCTCTCCCTTTACATCTTTGTTATCTGCATGGAGAAACTCACTCATATCATTCAACATGAGATGAACGCAAGATGGTGGAAACCCATCAAACTTGGTAAGAAAGGCCTTCTGATATCTCATTCGTTTTTTTTACTGATGATTTATTGATTTTTACAAAGGCTAGCTTGGAACAAGTGGAGGTCATTAGAGAATGCCTGAATCAATTCTGTAAGGGCTCGTGCTAGAAGGTTAATCACCAAAAGACTAAGATTTTCTTCTCTCAAAATGTTAATCATACCAGAGCTTCCCAACTAAGTAAGGAGTTGGGGTTTGCCCAAATAGCTGACCTGGGCAAATATCTAGGCATCCCGTTCCACCACAAAAGAGTTACTCATGAGACCTTCAGTATGTCATTGACAAAATCAAGAGCAGGTTGAGCAATTGGAAGATCGATAGCCTCTCTTTCGCGGGAAGAAGCACCCTTGCAAAAGCTGTTATTAGCGCCATGCCTAATCATGTTATGCAAACCTATTACCTCGCGGACAGCACATGCAAGATTATTGAGAAGAAAGCACGTGACTTTATATGGGGTTCCTTAGATGAAAGAAGGAGGAGGCATCTCATTTTGTAGGACAAAGCCTGCACAGAAAAACAAGTTGGAGGCCTAGGAATGAGACACGTCAAGCAACAAAACCGAGCATTTTATGATGAAACTAGGATGAGGCCTTGTCACCATGAGAGACTCTCTTTGGGTTAAAGTCATTCAGCACAAATACGGCTATGGCACTGATCTTATGCCCCACATCAACGTTAAAAAGCCAGGTTCAAACACATGGCAAGGAATCAAGAACAATTGGCACCACATGAAAGAAGAAATCCACCAGACCACGGACTAGTAGGGAAACAAGGTAGGACGCTGGAAGTGGGATAAAAGTGGGAATTTCACCACCAGCTCAGCATACAAAGCTCTCAGTATACCAACGGAAGCATCTATGAACAACTGGAGCAAAGTTTGGAAGCTTAAAGCCCCCCAAAGGTGTAAATCGTTCGCTTAGCTTATGCACCATGAACGCGTCTTAACTAACCAAAGGAAGCTCAACCGCGGCATACATCCCAATGGCTTATGTGACCGATGTAAACAGAATCATGACGATGAGGTTCATGTGTTCAGGGACTGTCCTGAAACACGAAAGTTCTGGGTACGGATCATCAAGGCGAGCTTACACCATGCCTTTTTCTCCTGTGACTTCTGTGATTGGTTGCACTTAAACATGAGGACACAAGTGGGGTCATTTGACTCAGATTGGAAGAACCTATTCGTTATAATATGCTGGTTGCTTTGGCGAGCGAGGAACAACTACACACACTCAAACTCGGCCACGGACTATGAGAAGGTAATAGGAAAAGCTTTAGCAATTAGTTTGTGTTTGTGAACCTCGATGCAGAAGTTACAAGGCACGAAGATGAATACGGGTATGAGTCGAGTAACGACACCAGATTCAAAAGCCACGGCCAACACGCTGGTGGTCGAGGTGGATGGAGCTTTCTCTTCCTTCAACGGATTGGTAGGGTGTGGGAGTGTTATCATGCAGCACGATGACGAGGTTCTTAAGGGCTTCATGTTTGCCATGAACGAGGGAGATCACCTCACGACTGAATTGTTGGGCTACCTTTTGGGTTTGAAACGTGCTTGGGACCTCGGTGGACGAAATGTGATCATGCACTGTGACTCCCTAGATGCTGCCAACCTTATTCGAGGCAACGATAACGCTATGCATGTCGACTAGGCCATCATCCACGAGATAAAAGAAATGTAGAATCAGAACTGGAAAACCGTCTTCCATACTATCAGTAGGGACCATAACTCGCCGGCCGATGCACTGGCTAAGAAGGCACTGAATGGACCCGTAGGGCTCCAGCTTCTCAGTAGAGAGTCTGTAGCCTCAGTTACAACTCATGTTCGTGTATTTTAGCTTTGTCATGTATCAAAAAAAAATACTCTATATATTATGAGAAGAACTAGTTATTTTAGACTATTTATTATAACATGATCACCTCTTAAATATCAAAATCGTTGCAATTGTATTCTTTGACTAATGAATATTGACGTTGATCATTAACTCCGAATTGACTTTGAGCTAAAGACCATTGTAATTTGCTTTTAAAATATTCATAAAAGAGTATGTTCAAATTGAGGTGCCCATATTTAATATCCGATAATATCTTAAATATAGTTATCTTCTTATATTTACTGAGTGTTTGAATGAAACCAAATCATGATTTGGAAAATAACTTCTGGAGAATAGATTCTTGAGAAAGAATAGATTTTGTGAAAAAGTGATTCTGATAAAGTGAGAATATTTAGATAGTTGTTATCGGAAGCAATTTTTATATGTGCAAATCACTTAAAAATGCATAAGTTAATACGATAATTACATAAAAGATAGATTTTATAATATATCTTAATTTGAAGGAATAAAATTGTTAATAATATATTTTTTACCAACATAATTAATAATATATAAGATAACATAATTGATAAATAATTAATATGTGTATATATATTTATAAAATATAAGATTAAATATGTTTATAAAAAAAATAATTGACAGGTATTAAAGTCATATTATCATTGAGATCTATTCTGATAGGCACCATTATACTCTCCAATTTGAGTTAGAAGCAAAATGGATTTACTTCTTTTGAAACGATGGTTTTGAACCCAAAACCGTGGTTTGTGCTTCTTCCTCCTTATTTGGCAATTTTTTCTCCCAAACCATAATTTGGGCCCCCAAATTATGGTTTGGGCAATTACCCAAACATGCCCTTAATAGATGATAATATCTCAAATATGATTTATCTTCAACAAGAGAACACCTATGCATAGAAAATAAAAATATTCATGAAAGAGTAACTCACATACAAAAGTTTAATAATATAGATGGTATCTGCATTTTTTGAAAAAACAAAACGTGTGTGGCTTAGTGTTTAAGGTGCCACGTGTTTTGCCAATCAGGCATTCATTAATAATAAAAAGTTCTATTGATCTAGATGAAGGATCAATTAGCAACATCATTGTTGCAAGTTACATGTGTATATACATATTTATCTTGACTTATTAATTAGGAACTCATCGGTCACAAGGAGATCCGTCAGCTTGCCGCTCTAATACTCAACGTTAGCACATGAGGCACATGTTTTAATTAAAAAATTAAAAAAAAAAAGAATTTCATTGGGTTTGTCAAGAAATGATTCGTCCGTAAGAAAAAGAAAAAGATTTGCTAACTCACGCTAGCCATGAATTATATTGATGTCGTTGCTACGGGCTATACATGTGTCTATCTTAACTAGCTTAGTCATGGGATTAATTACTGATTATTGATATAAATACTTCAGGGATAAGTTTCGGTAAAAACAATACCAATTTTTGATTTAAATACTTTAGGGATAAAATAAACTTTTTAATACAAAATCAATTAAACGTAAACAATGAACATCAATATCTATTAGTCAAAGATTAACATTGAGACGATTCTAACATTTGAAAAACAATATAGTACTCCAATGAATTAATATATAGTTTTGGATAACTAGTATTGCTCACAAGATGTTATAGAAGAAAATACCTTTATAACTAAAATATTTCAGACAAATTCATTGATTAAAACATTACTTCTAATTCTTGATATAAGAGCTAGGTGAATATTAAATTTAGTCGTAAATCTAATTAATACTTCAATTCACTTTATCTATCAAATTTATATTTTTTTTCAAAATATCCTTCTTGAATGTAAAATGCCACATCCAAGGGATAGTCCCAATGTATATGATCAAAGATAATAAGTTAGAGAAGTCAAAATATATTTATTACAAATAATCAATTTAACTAATTGTTTAATATGTTCAAATTATTCATCTAATCATTATATTAAGCACGGAAGCTAGTTTCAGACACCTTAATCCCACAAGCATGTGGCGCCCGTTTCATTTTACCATTCTTAATTAATTCCTCAAACGATTTGTCTGTTTAATAATGAAATTAGTAATAGTCGAGAGTGTCATCCAATTAAAATATACACAAAATTAAGGATCAGAACGAGTCATCCATAAAAGAGAGTCGATTGATTCAATTGAAAAAAGTCAAGTCACCATGATGCTAGATATATATCCTTCCAGTCCTATTTATTCTTTTTAGGATAAAGAACATATAGTCTAACTAATATTGGTTTGTAGTGGAAATTCTTGTCTTAGAAATTATTAGTTAAGTTCGATGCGAAAATACAAAATTGACAAGCCACTATTATACTCTCCCAGAAAGAGAGATTTTTATGAGAAATAAATGAGAGTCTTTTAAGATTTATTGTACTTCTCTCTTTTATGAATAAATGGTGAACAAAGCACCTAATTTATACTTTTTCACAAAATAAATATTCAAATCAAAACGATTTTTTATTCATTCCTCGCTTCCGCAACATAGATCGAGGATATCTGAAACTGATCCAAATATCATTCAAGTAACAGACACATAAACTCAAGGGGAATAGCGAATAGGAACTAACTTCAGATTACTTTTCCTTCTTATCACAGCACCAAATGACTCATCCATGTCCAATTCCTCAAGCGTCATCCCCTTTGGTGGCTTCCAATCAAAATGGTAAAGTAAACTGGAAAGTAATAACTCTAAAACAGGCGTAGCAAATGTGGGCCCCGGACAGATTCTTCTTCCCGCACCAAACGGGATATACTCAAAGTGTGAACCTTTGAAGTTGTAATCAACCATTGTATCGAGAAATCTCCTTGGTTCAAACATCTCTGGATCATTCCAATTCTTGGGATCTCTTGCAATGGCCCAAGCATTAATGATAATTTTTGTCTTAGGAGGTATCACATATCCATTGATTTCACAACTCTCACTATTCTCTCTTGGAACCAACAGTGCCACTGGTAAATGGAGCCTTAAGGTTTCTTTGATGACAGCACTTACATATTTTAATTGGTGAAGTTCTGATTCATCTACATATTTTTTGTCTCCATAGACTCTTCTTACCTATTATAAAGCCAATAATAACTCTCACGTTTAAGTCAACTCAATAATGTTTATAAATTAATATAAATAAATAACACAACCCACAAAATTATTATACAAAACATTCAAAATTGTAGTTGTAGTTATACCTCTTCTTGTGCCTCTTTCATAGCCTTTGGGTTTTTGAGCAATTCTGACATCGCCCAATCTGTTGTAGTTGCCGCTGTTTCAGTTCCAGCAAAGAAAACATCCTGAAAAGGAAGGAATTCACAAAATTGATTTTGAGGAACGTATGTGTGCATTTGTGCATTATACTTTGTGTATCAAATCACAAACTATGTAACATTTAATATTGCTCGCAAAAAAAAAAAGGGCAACATTTAATATGATAAAAGACTAACTTTAAGAACAGCTTTAATGTTGTCAAGAGATAAGGGGATCTCCAAGTCACCATCCATTTGAATTCTGAGAAGAATATCAACTAGATCCTCCTCTGCCTCTCCAACATTATTTCTTTTCTTTTCTTTGTGGTCTTTGATGATTTCATCAAACACTTTATCTCCACCATCCTGCAGCTTTATAACTCGAGCTCTCATCCCAGTGATGGTACTAAGAAATTTCAGCGAAGGATAGAAATCAGAAATGGACAACCCAGAGCTTTCCTTTTGTCCTTGTTCTATAATTTGTAGGATTTGTTCTACATTCTCTGTCTTCTTTCCAAAGACCACTCTTGCAACAATAGAATTCGTGAGTTCTGAGATCTTTTGGCTGAGGTTGAAGACAGAACCTTCATGTTCAGAGATGTTTCTTACCAGTGCTGATACCTCCTCTTCCCTAATCCTTCTAAACGATTGAACCCTTTTTGCTGAGAAAAGCTCTAAAGTACAAATCTTTCGAAGTTGCCTCCAATAGTTTCCATATGGGGAAAAGATGATGTCTGTGCTATTATAGGTCAAGATATCAGTGGCAAGATTTTTGGGCCTATTTGCAAAGATCTGATCATGGGTCTTCATTATTTCTTTGGCATATTCTGGTGAAGACACTATGATATGAGAAACCTGCCCAAGTTGAAGGTGCATGAAGGGCCCATACCTGTTTGCGAGATTTGTGAGAGAACGATGAGGCAGTGAGCCAGCAAGTTGATGGAGGTTTCCGATGAGAGGTAATTTCCATGGCCCTGGAGGTTGGTTTTTGGTGGGTTTCTTGGAAGAAGAAGATAGCTTGTTAATCAAAAAGAAGCATAAGAAGGTGAAGAAGATGATGGAATATGGGATCTGGATCTCCATGGTTGCATATGTATTGAAAGAAAATGTCAAGTTATGCTTTCTGTACTCAATAATTGAGGTGTGAATTGTCAGAGAGACAGGCTTTATTATCTCTCGTTTTTTTATTTGTTTATTGGTAAGGCAGCGATCTCAAAGGCCTAGAATAGGGAGATTTCTCCTTTATTTAATGTTTTAACGTGTATAAATACATGCCATTGACTTATTAAGGTTTAATTAAACAAGATTTTTTTTTACAATTATATATTATTATATCATGTTCACAATGTAAATTTGCACAAATGTCCTCATTGTCCGGGCTGATTGGGTTTGTCGTTGAGATGTTTCTAGGTTAGAAAATATGGCTTTGATGCAAAGACAAAATTAGGTTTGAGGCCTAATGTTTGACCATTTTGGATATAAGAGGAGGAAATGGTGGGATCTAAAATTAATATTATTAAGGAAATTCAAACGGCAGTAAAAGACTCTTGGCGAAAAAAAATGGCAGTAAAAGACTGGTCCATGTCTCCGTGATGCAAACAGGACACATGAAAAATAGCAAACACACATGGGGCACATTGAAGAGTGAGCACTCAGTAAAAGCAAACTGAAAGCACCAGGAGGCAGGCAGTAGGCACACAATGGAAAAGCATGCTAAGCGAGCCCAAGTATGATTTTATATGAAACAATGTCAAATTGTCAATGACTGACGATAACCCTTCAGATGGACTAGACGCATAACCAGGACGCTTCGTTTTAGAGTTAGGATCATAATTGATTGATAAGTACTTATAAATTTGTCATATGCAAGTAGCTGAGGCAAAATTTTTCTGACATATTTATCTTATATTTTATAATTTATAATTTAAAAATTATTTATAAATCGTTTCAAAAGGGCCATAATACATTCTTTGATTAATTTAAGAGCTAGTGAACAATTCATTCAATTTTGTCCTAAATATAAAATATCAATTCACCTTGTCTTTTATATTTATCCATTTTGCTTTTAAATAATACTAATTCCGATGATGACGGCACATTTAAGAAGTTTTCATCAGATAGTAGTTCCAATATACATGATCAATCAAAGTAGTTTAAAATAGGAAATATATATTTATTACAAATAATTATTTAACTATTTTTTTAATATTCACAAATTAGTTATCTAACTCTTACATTAAAAATTGGAGGTAGTAAACAAGAATGGAGAATCACAAAAAAAAACAGCATGAGTGAAGGGAGAGCGAGAGGTACGAGAGGTAGCGATGGGGGAGGAGGTGCTGGAGAGGTTGATAGGGGAGGAGGGAGGGAACGCGACAAAGAAGCGGAGCATGGTAGTTCACCTATGGACTTTGTGTTCGGGACAGGTAGTGCTAGGGAAAGGGAGTCGAAGGGGAGAATGAAAACCCCGCAACCTGCTGCTAATCGGAGAGTTTTGCCTTTATCATATAAAGAGAAACTTCTCTATTTAGGGTGTGGAGGTTTTCTGGTTAAGCACAATGAGAATGAGGATATAGTAAACGGATGGAAATCCTTCTTTATGAAGAAAAATCAAAGCGCAGAGATTACTGATGGGGATACGGATGTGGTTGATGGGGTAGAGACAGAGGGCACTACTATTAAACCAAGGTATCCTGTGCTGAAAGTTACTCCATCTCAATACACGGCCTGGTGCCAACCGTGGATAAACTCATTGATTATCAAGCTTCTAGGGGCACAGGTGCCAAAGAATGTTCTTATTGACAGGGTGAGAAGGATGTGGAAGCCAAAGGATCCTATGAAAGTGACCCCGCTTAGTAATGATTATTATATTGTTTCTTTCACCAGTAGGGAGGACCGAGACTATGCCTTTCAAGAAGGTCCGTGGATGATTGATGATCATTACCTGTTAGTTCAGAGATGGAGGCCAAATTTTAATCCGCGGAAGGTGGACACACAACGCAAGATAGCTGCTTGGGTCTGGATCCCAGACTTACCAATGGAATTTTATAATGTTGAGTCATTGGGGATTATAGGCGACATGATTGGCAAGACCATCAAAGTGGACCGTTCAACCTCGATATATGACAAAGGAGAATTTGCTCGCATATGTGTAGAAATAGATCTACAACAACCTTTGCTCACTGCGTTCACGGCTTTTGGTGAGGATTGGCAGCTTGTTTATGAAGGGTTACATCAAGTTTGTTTTAATTGCGGAAAGTACGGGCATGAAATGCATGCATGCCCCCAAAATGTGAACGTTGCAACTACAGGGGCTATGGCGGATACAGGGGAGAAAGAGAAGACATCGGAGACAGAAAAGACTAGTGATAACCAATCGCGAACCACGACAGTGCAACCACCGATGGTGGCAGCGGATGCTCATTTGGGTCCCCAAATGTTGATTCGCCGAGATTTCCGTAGGCCTTCAAATCGTACAAAAATAAAGGGATCTGATGGAGAGAAGCATGGGGCGGATTTGAAGGGATTGAGGAATGGAAATAAAGATGCGGATCAAAAAGGCGTTGGGAGTGGAAAGATTCAGAAGCTTCAATCTCGGGCTAATACCAAGGAGGAGGAGAAGAGGATATATCAGCTAGTTGGGATACGCAAGGATAAGAACGAGAAGGTCGCAGGATCTAAAAATAATACCCATGATTTTGGCGCAAAGTTAAATAATATCAATGAAGGCACGTGGAACACGGTTCTGGGAGCTAAAAGGAAAATAGTTGAGAGAGCCAAATTGAGGGGTAAGGAGAACATTCTTGATAAGTCAAAGGCCCCCTTTAAGGATACAATCAACCTCAATGAAAGCCCATTAGAAATATACAATCCCTTCATTACTTTACAAGCTTGGTTTGCTGACATAAAGGCCCATAACGAAAAGGGGAGAGAAAATCCAATTGCAAGTGGGCCCAATGGTACTCAAAGCATCTCCACGCATATGTCATTGGAAGGGGAGGCTTTGACCTCTCACAATCAGGATATTATTATGGGAAATAAGATGGATATTGTCCAGGGAAGGGGCATTGAAGCTTCGCCAACTCAACAAAATGTTTCCCTATGAATCACATGATATGGAATTCTAGGGGCATGGGCACGAAGACATTTCCTAGCCTGGTGCAAGAACTGAAAAAACATTTTTGTTTAGATTTTTTGGCGTTACTTGAGACTAGATCAGACAAGCTTAAAACGGAGAGACGGATTGGTAGTCTTGGTTTTCAAGAATACACCTTTATTGAAGCCGAAGGGTACAGTGGTGGCATTTGGTGTCTATGGAATGCAAGAGTTCGGAGGGTCGAGGTGCTAGAACGACATAGGCAATATTTACACCTATATATTGAAACCTCGAGATTAGAGTAGTGGTTCATGACTATAGTTTATGCTAGCCCGCACGTGATGGGACGACATAATCTATGGAATGCACTACAACAATTAGAGAGTGGCATTCATGGTCCTTGGCTTCTTAGGGGAGACTTTAATGCAACTATTTTTCAAAAAGAAAGACACACTACTGCTGTAAATGGACTCGGCACGGACCGAGAATTCAGTAACTGGTATGAGACCTCAGGAGTTTCCGACCTTGGGCATGTAGGGCCACTTTTTACTTGGAAGCGAGGGAACACAGAAGCTCGTCTGGACCGTGTCTTGGCAAATGATGAATGGTGTAGACTATTTCCCAATGCGCGTGTGTCTCACTTGCCATTTTACAAATCGAATCATCGCCCACTTCTTGTGCAGCTTGATTTTATTACAGAGAGACCCAAACATCCTTTCCGGTTTATTGCGGCCTGGGTATTACATGATGACTTTAAACGCTTTGTTACTGACAATTGGAAGACAGAAAGAGAGTGGAAGCAGAATCTCCATCAGTTCACGCATGAATGCTGTAGATGGAATAAATATGTTTTCGGGCATATTGAGGGTCGAAAGAACAAACTGTTATGTCGGATGGACGGTGTTAATAAAGCTTTAGAAAGAGGAAGAAATAAGGGGCACTATGAGGACCTTCTTGCTCAATTATGGAAAGATTTTGAGGAAGTGCTTGTTCAGGAGTCTCTCTTGTGGGCCCAGAAGGCACGTGTAGAGTGGTTTGTTTATGGAGACAGAAACAAGAGACTTTTCCATTCTAGAGCCAATAGACGCCGCAAAGCAAATAGAATAGATGCTATCCGAATAGAAGGAGGAGAGTGGTGTTATGATTTAGGGTGTGTTTGGTATGAGGGATTTGGGAGGGAGGGGAGGGAAGGGGAGGGATTTTAATCATTTTCCCTTGTTTGGCAACACACAAATTTTAGGAGGGGAGGGAAAATTTTTTAAAATTTCCCCTCCCCTCCCCTCCCTAACCTCCCCTCCAAAATTGGGAGGATTTGGAGGGAAAGGGCAATATTTTGTCATATTATGACCATTATACCCATATTTTGTCATGTTGTAACCATTATGTCTATATTTTGTCATGTTGTGACCATTATACCCACACCTTAAATAAAATAAGAGCAAAATTATCCATATTAAAATGTTTTTCCCTCCCCTCCCCTCTTTTTTTATAAATCCAAACAAGATAATATTAAAATCCTTCCACTCCCCTCCCCTCCCCTTCCTTCCATTAAAATCCCTCCCCTCCCCTTCCTCTCATTGAGCCAAACATACCCTTAGAGGTAATTAAACAGGAAGCCACGAGATTTTTTGCTTCATTATTTACCGAGGAAGCCAGAGTTCGTGCGGAGTTGCCTTGTGAACTTACGTACCCCACTATTGATGAGGTGAGCTTACAAATATGTGATCGACCTATAGATGCGGTTAGTATGGGGCCTCTGAAGTCTCCGGGACCGGATGGGTTCAATGCTCTCTTTTATCAATCGCAATGGGATACTATTGGAGCTTCCATGGTAAAATATATTCAACGGATTTTTGCCAACCCTAAAGAGGTGAAAGAGGAAAATGGTACATTAATTGTTCTTATTTCTAAGAAAGATCCTCCTGAAACTTTTACAGATTTGCGTCCCATAAGCCTCTGTAACGTTACTTATAAAGTGGTGACAAAAATTTTAGCAAATAGAATGAAGACGT